TCTGTCTGGCCTTTTTCCCCAGAGCATAAAAATCAAAAGAGAAAAAATAAATATCTTTTATTCTCTTTTTTGTTTGTGACTGCGACAGCCTGAAGCTCTGCTCCCCTATCCATGCTCATCTACACAAGTGTGTTTGTTCATGGCTGTTGAACAGAGTTTGGTAGAAAAATACAAGGTAACGTTGCCTTACAAGTTTATCAAAAGCCAGAGAATTGGACAAGCCAGCAAGATCTTTTAAGTAACTCTAGCTTAACTGCCGGTGGCAACCTTTCACCCAGGCTTACATCCCATGGTGTGACCTGTAAAGATTTTCTGCAGTAAAACCCCACCAAGCTGTATCTGCTGACACAAGCACTGGAAGGTCTGGATAAAAGACCCAGTCTCCTATTTGCGGAACACCAAAGTTGCAAAAATAATCTGCTGCTGCAGGAAGAGGGTTGGGAACAAACACAGACCTGGATGTTTTCCCCAGGCACGTTTAGTTAAATGAAGATTAAAGAAACCCAAGTAAATAAAGGGAATAAAATAAAATAAACACACTACACCCCCTTTCCTGTCCCTTTTAAAGTCTTTTTCCTGCTTCAAAGCAGTCTTCGGGCTTTGGTCCTGTGTGGGTACACCGAGCATAGGCACACTATCCATACACAGCGCTTGGGGATAGGCTTGCAACCCTGCACGTCTTTGAACACCAGTTCCTGGCTGGAGGTGCCTGAGCAGAGGCTGCATCACGTTTTGTATCCTGCAGCCTCTTGTGGTTAAAACAAACTTTTCATCAACCCCGTGCCCTGGTATTATGCTATTGACTGGAACCGCTCAGTGCAGCGCTGCAGTCTTCAGAACTTGGGAAGGAAAAATAAATTCTTTCTTCTGGATTCCTGCTAAACTAACAAAACTCCAAGCAAGAAATAAGTAGTCAAAATAAAATTAAGAGAGCATGAAACTGCTGTCTGGGATATATAGTGGCAGGGAATAGCTGCTGCAAAACCAGCGGAGAAGAGCAGCCAGAAGGACTGCCACGGAGGTTCTGCCACTGTGCAGAACACGGACATGCAGAAGAGCTAGCGTGGAAGGAGCAGCACAAAGCAGCTTGTGTGGGAGCACCTGTACGGGAAGCCAAAACAAGTGAACCTGCAGGAGAGACGGCTGGCTGCTGTGGGCAGCAGTGTGGCACAGCTCCTGCAGAACAGCACGCAGGGAACAGGTCTGCAGAACTGCTACCAGGCATTGACCACCTGTGTCACCACGGCAGTCTGCAGGCTGCTCCCCTGCTCCATTAGCTGTTCTTCTTGGACAGAGTTGCTGGTGTTTAGGGCAGTTACCCTCACCCCCAAGCCAAACTCCTCTGGGGGTGCAGAGCAAGGAGATGCCATCCCTGCAGAGACGGGTCTTCAAGTATCCAGTGCAGGCAGCGGTACAGCAGTCTGGCCCATGACTATGCCCATCTAAATATATGAAACCAATTAACAGGAAGGTCTTTTCCTAAAAAAAATTTCTCTCCTGAGAAGAAAATTCTTTTTCTGTCATTCTGTGCTATTTCTCTTCCCGATTTCCTGCTTCACCCATACCCTGTCTTCCTAACAGCCATCATTTCTGTTTATTAATGGTGTTATCTTATGCATGGCATTATCTCATTCCTGTCTTCTCCTGTACATTGGGCCTGAAAAGTTGTCCTTAACTTTAAACACATCCTGAAGCAGGTATCTTAAATTTCATCCATACAGTATCTGAAATCTCATCCACAGGTGGATGGAGGCTGGAAGGAGCTCTACTACAGTGATGAGCTTGCCAGCAGTACTATGCCCTTCACACATTGCAGATCTTGCTGGGCTGCAACGTAGAAACACCCTGAAATGCTTATGCCCTTTGGAATGTCATGTACTGATTTCTGTCTTTATTTTGCTGATTAGGCCTTACAGAAATAATGAGATGGCTTTAGAAAACCTTCAGGGAATAAAAGGGTGGTTAGACTAATGAATAGCAAAAGTTTTCATCTTATTGACCCAGACTTGACTTGGAAAAGCTGCAGCTGCCAGTTGCTTTGAGCAGATCAAGATCACACTGTTGCAATATTTTTTTTTTGCCTGAGAGACACAGCCAGTTACTGTGTATAACAGAAAAGTTGCCTGAACATTTTGTTTTAAAGAGACACAGACAGTCATTTTGGAGTCCAAAGATCTTAGCCAAAAACCAAAGACAGTAAGGCTGTGTTATAGATTTATTGCTAACTGCTGGCATCAGTAGATGCTGACTCTGTTGTATGACAAAGCAATTAACCTTTGCAACTCTAACCCATGTCAGAGGATGAGAGGCAATTAATAAAGTCTACTCTATTATCATAGCAGTTAAGGGTCACATCACAGCTGAAATGACACAGACACTATTGCGTCCGAAGGAAAGGACAATGCTTTTTTCCTAGAAGAAACTGACTTTTATTCCCTCAGAGTAAAATCTGCTACAATGCAAAGGCATTTCCAGATCATCAGATGTTCACGTTCCACAAGATTTTCAGAGAAAACTTAGGAAAAAAAAGTAACTGTTGATTGAACACATGGTGCTAGAACAGCAGGGAAACAGCCTTTCTCCCCTCATAGGTATGACAGCCTTTTCATACAGTATCATGATTAAAAGGCCAAGGCACTCTACCCAGCACATTGATCAAATTTTAATGCTACATCCCTTTCAGATGCCATTCAGTATTACTGCAATAGGGTTGTTGTGCAATTTCTTTCAAAGTTGTTACTGTGTTATCTGGGAGCCAAAAAGCTGCTTTTACAATAAGAAGCACCACAGAAGCAGCTAATCACGCTATGAATCTTCTTACAAAATACTTTGTTGGTCAACAATCTGAAAAATTAGTAAAACAAATCCATCTAATCAAACAAATTCATGGAGATATTTTAACTTGTCTAATATTAATCAGTGGATGTAATCACTGAAACACCCTTCACAAACTGCAAAACGATCGTCCTAAAATGGCACATATGTATGTACAGGCCTGACTTTAGACATGACCATATCCTTGTGGACACCAGAGCTATTCTAAGCTAAGAATATGCTTGTGCTTTTGCAAGCTCAGTGGATACTAAGATTGCATTTTAATGAAGAGTCTTAATCCCTCTGAATATGGGATTCTCAACAGACAAAGTCACATTTGTTGAAGAGGTGAAAACACAGCTCTCCCTTTAGCAACAGCATGGTTGTCACACCACTGTTAGACACATGGGCAACACTATAACGGAAAAAAAACAACATTTCCTTTTTAGGAGGAATATAATGCATCCATCTTTTAACCGTATTGCTGTACGTACAGGAGGATTCACAGATATCCAGCGAATCACAGGCAGGCTGCTCTTTTCTGCACGTCTGGCAAAATGCAAAACCCAGTGGTGCCAAGCTTGTCACAAACAAGTCAGTGGATATAGCCAGAAAGTCTAGACTTAATGACTATGTAAAGGAAAGGTTTTAGCTGCCACAAAGCTACCCTTTGATCAAGAAGGAGTTAAACATGTGGAAAGCTCAAAGACAATACCCAAGTCTAAAAAGCACTGCTAGCTGTAGAAAACATTCCAGATACAGCCACTTCCTCTGTCTCTTTGGGAATGGTAGCAAGATCAATTAAGAAGATGGTTTTGTAGTTCAGGGTGTCTACAAGATCTGGATTCAGCTCTTAGCAATTTCTGTCTTGTGTTTATTAAATAAAAGCCTCTCAAACACTAGCTGTAGAAGAGGGTTAATAGTGTTTCCTATCTGCTTCTTGTCACATTCAGGCAGAACTGAGCACAACAGGAGCCCAACGTTAGATAGCCTCTAAATGACATCAAAGCACAATTCAAAAATATGAAAAAAAAAAACAGTGTAAATAAGTGACTTGTGTGCAAACCATTTCTAAGCATAGTCTAAATAAGGACAGAATAATCATAGCAAAGGGCTGCAAAGAGCGTTTAGATCAGCAGGGTCCAATTTTCTGTAAGAAATTTTTCTCTTGGGAGAGTCTATTCCCGTCTGACAAAATACAGAGAGTAGAAACACTTGTTTAAAAAGAGGTTTACAGCAACATTTTATTTGTGTAAACTTTTATCTCCTTACAGTAGAAACATACACAGTACAAGCCAAAAGTAGTATAACAATTTTACAGCAAAGCTTACTGGTAAAATGCAAAACTAATTCTTATCAAATTTAAAAAAAACCTGTGCACTTTCTCAAACTTAACTTTGTTCAGCACATCGTTTTGATTTATATATAATAAGGCATTAATTCTATAAGAATCATTTACTATATTCCAAAATTGCATGACCTAGGTGTAACACTCTATAGCCTGATACCATTTTTGTTCCTTTCAATATTTACAGATTTAATCTATCTGCATTGACACGTAGCATACAAGCGCTAAGAACAAATACAAGCTTTGCCAATACTAGTTTCACATTGAAAAAGTTATCTAGAAAGCTCAATTTTGCATTGAAATAGCTTGGTTCTGCTGCTGCCATGACTGTAATTTTAAGAAAAATTTCCCCTTTTGGCATGTTTCCTCACTTTCAGCAATATTTTGATCTTTCAAATTGCACAACTGAATCTGCTCTGAACGCTACAGGAACTGGAAGTGGACCCCATTTCTACCAGCCACCTAAGTTTTTTTCCTCCTCTCCCTCCCCAGAACACAGTTCTTAAATTTTTTTTTGAAAGTTACATCTTCTATACATGGCTACTATGTTCCAGCTACTATGTACAGAAATGGCTCAGGCAATTAAGTTAGTCCACCTTGTCATTAGTCAACAGGAAGTATAATTACTGTAGCTGTAAAGGAGGTATCTAGTGTTCCAGAATAAGTGAGTTTAATTACGGTGGGAGCTTCCTCAAATCTATCTACATGACAACTTCAGACTCAATATTAAATAGCAAGTCGTCATTTCCTCTTCGAACTTCAAGTAGTAGAGGTGACTCATTCATCACAGCCTCTTGCAGGTCACTGGAAGTCATCAAAGGACGTCCATTGACTTTAACAATGATATCTCCATCTTGGATCCCTCCCCTGTATAGGCAAGAACATAACACAGCAATAAGCATGCATTCTACCCGAAAAAGTAGTACCAAGGCTATTTACCACCTCCTCGGCTGATATCATACTCTTTGCCTGCTTTAGTTTCCATAGGAGGGGAATTTCAGCCTTTTGATAAAGGCAGACTAACGAGTAATGCTCACTAAATGCAAAATCAGGCTTGGAACATTTCACTGAAGATTTTCTTCTAAAACAGCAAACACAGAGAGTAAAAGTAGCCTAGTTTTCTCTTCGTCTTCCACAAAACCACAGCAAAGTTGAAATAGAAAGGACTTTTAGCCATGACTGACTCACTCCATCCACTTGAAAGACTATGGCTCTGCCTCTACAGTACACACTCCACACAGTGGAAATTAAACCTATTTGCAAAATTTAAGGACAAATGAAGTGTACCAACTGAATAAGTAAATTATTTCTTTCCTGCCACTCAAGCCAGAATGGCTGCTTTTCTTTTACCTTTGCATCCTCTTAATAATTCCTAAAATAATTTGTAAAAATGTGCTGTTTATTTTCCAACTTTTCTGCATAGTGGTCTCTTCCTCAAACAATTGCCTCAGAAAATAGCTCAGGCAATGTCTTACATTAATGCAACGCTGTTTCCTGTTTAAACTCAAAGTTTATTAACATTTTCTTTACCTTTCTAAGACAAAATTAGTTCATTGTATTTAGGGTGTTGTTTAAATTTGCACACTGTTAGTGCTTTATGATGTCATTTGAGAAGTTTTGGAAACAAAATATTTCATCTTTGTAAATCTAAGTAGAATCTTAGCACAAATATTTTAATGATTTTTTTTTTTAAAACCAAAAGGCACAAATTTTGATTTTTTTAAATACAAATGAAGACTGGTATGAATAAGTGCTTGAATACAAATATCCATTTGGAAATTTATTTAAGGTTAAGAAAACAATGTGCTCTGCATACCTATGAGAAGGTGAATTTGGAACAACTTCATGTACATAAATTCCACTTCTAACATCAGGGAAATCAGGATTATTGTGTTTCAATTCTTCCACCAAGCTAAAAGAAAATCAAAATTATGTAACATTTAATTCCACTATTACTATAAAAGCAGAAACATTCAAAGTATTTCCTTATTCTTTTTCTTGCCCTCAAATAAATGACATAACAGATAATGGCTTGCCTCTCATTCTTGTGCTGACAACTTAGGGAACTTGGACTTGCATAAAACAAGTAACAGCCCAATCCAAAGCAAAAGATATCAAGAGTCAAAAACACTTATCTGTGCAAAACATGCTATATTTAATGGTCTCATACATCTATTGCAAGGGCTTGACTTGTTATTTGCAGCAACAGCACAGAGAGCCCCCTCTCCCCCGCCACCACAAACCGTCCTAGGGGCTGTACAGGGACGAAAGACATTCTTGCTCCAAAGAATTAACACTGGCGATAAGGTAGAAATTTGCGAATGGTTTTGCGTCTTTTATTTGGCAAGTCTTTAGTTAGAACAACACTGCTTTTGACAACTTCAGTCATCAAACAGGCGATCAGAATTGTGAATTTTTCCACAGAAACTAGTGCCTCAGCTTCTTCAAGTTTTCTCACAAATAAAATTGGTTGTGTTTGTCTTTATACAGAAGACAAAAACCAGCTGCAAAATAGAGACTCTTAATACATCCTCTCACTTCTGAGGAGATGCCTTCATGTTAGGCCTGGATACAGCGTGGGTTAAAACCCACTTATAGCAAGAAAGAGTTTTAAACTAACGATGGATTACTTTCTCGTTTGTCATGAAAATCTGGGGTCCCTCAGATAGAGAGGAAGTCAGAATAGCTGCACACAGCTTCATTTTATTTTTTACTGAGGAAGCTAACGTAATTAAATGCCTAAAACAAACACACCGAGAAAAAGTCTTTTCCTGAAAATTGGCCTGGAGGCATCTGACACTGCTCTATTAGACACCACAAAAGCACTAAAACCTCACGCCACGTTCAAGTCACAATATTTAGATACGCATCCTGAATTTCTCTCAAGTGGTGGCGGTCCGGTGATGGTAATGCCATTACACTGATTCATTCCAGCTGAGGATCTGACCCTTTGGGGGAGGATTGCAAGAGTGTAACTCAATAAATAAAGATGGCTTTGACTACAACCCCAGCTGGAAATTGTCTTGTTTAATTTTGTAGTCTACAGCCACATTGGAAATGTGCCTACTGGTGGGAAAGGACGCAAGCGTAAGAACCCTCATTTGTTATCCCAGGATATGTCCGGATAACAATAAGACACAAAGCAGCACGAGAGAGAAAAGACACTAAAGAACTGCAGGAGGGCGTCCATATTCTGGGTTTGCTAACAAGGAGACAAAGCTTTAGTTCTGTGCTTTAGCAACCACTTTGTTTCAAATTAATGGTTGAACACCAAATCCCACATGTGGCCTCCACTGGTACTGATAAAACTACCGCCAAACCCTCAGGCACCTAATCAGTTATTGGCACTCACGCAGTCACCTAAACGCAGCAGCTTGTTTAAATCACACCTAAAACCTGGTGTAACTCCAGACATACCAGAAAAGAACAAGAAAAAAAAAAAAGAAAAAAAAAAAAGAAAAGGATCCAGGGTCTTCCTAACTTCCCACAGTTATCAACAGGGCACATCCCATTATCTGTATTTAGAAAATGACTGATTTTCCAAGTCTCAAACCATACATTTCATCAATACAATTTAAATGTTCACAAGCTTTGTAGAAGCTAACACGCACATCTGCATTCTGTAGAGATTTATAACCAAAGCCAAATAACAAAGTTTGGAACCACTATTGAACACTTTTTGCAATTAACTCTATGAACAATTATATAGATTACTTTTCCAAGATACTTACGCAGGTGTTATTGTCAGCATTCTGATGCCAATAAAGCGTTTCTTCCCATCTGAAAATAATACAGAAGGTATTTAAGAAATTTAGACAAATACTGACAAAAATAACTTATTTGATGACTCAAAATACCTGCCAATTCAAACACGATATAACAGCTCTTAACAAAACTAAACACAAATCATACGCATCAACAATGATGTCATCTTTTCTTTTGCCTAACCTTGGTGTATGGAATGAGAATCCCTCACCTCACCAGTGAGAGAGTAAGAGAGAAGCTCCTTTCCACTCTGTGAAACATTTCCTTCAGGAAACTCAGGAAAATTTCTGTGATTTAGTATCATGATTTCAATAAATGGAAAATTTTATAACCAAATACCATCTCATCTGAAACTGGTCGAGACAATTTAATCGTATGGTGCTCTCATTGGAATGTAGGAGATTTAAAGAAATGAAAATTTCCATGAGTTCTAGCACCAACAGCTCATTATTTCTACCCAAAAGGAATGAAAAAATGAATTAAAGACCTTAACCAGGACTCTCTAGAATTTTAAATGGTGGATATTCACTCCTTCAAGAACAGCGATATATTTCTGCAGTTGGCTTTTAGTAGACAAGCACAGCTGTTTTATGAACAAATGCACTTTGATGACTTCCTGAAGTGAGTGCCTCAGTAGTTAGTTATATCCGCTATTAAATAATATTTCCCCTTATTTATTCCACAATTCACAGTTTCTTTGAGATTCTCCATATTCTCATATGAGGAGACAGACTGAAAAGGAGATGTACAGAATCTCCTCTAACTCTTATTCTTTCCACGAAAAATAATCCCAAGCTAAGGATCTAGTCCTGAAAGTTATGCCTGTCGAATATTTCCATTAATGTCAGTGAAAGTGTTGAGCACTAAAACGTAAGATTTACTACACTGGACAATCTTGCATCTCTAATCATCACACATGCTTTTCCCTGAAACATTCCAGCTCTCCCGTATTTTAAAGTGAAACTGATCTGATCAAAATTAGCTGCAGTAAGGGCTCCATGAAGAAGTCTTGTTACTATAAATTGAAGTGTCAAAACCTTTGGGCATGGGCCTGAACTAGTGAACTCACGTTTCTTTAGTCCACGTAGCACATGCAAATCCTTAAAAGGTAAGCTTTCACTTTAAAAGACAAATATTCTAACTCTTCCAGCTAAAAATAATTTTTTCCCCCAAAGTGGACAGTTCAATGACAAAGTTGTCTTGCTGCGACTGCAATCAAACTGAAGAGAGATATAAATGACATATAGACTCCCTGGTGACAGTTTACTGTCTCCGTTAAAGACTTTGTTGCTGGTCATGGCCTGTGTGATGCAGAAAGATGTAGGAGCATAACGCATAATCTCGGGGCTGAGTTAGGAATGGATACTTGAAGGAAAATGCAGATGAAAAGAGGGACAAAAATTGATCTGGAAGAAACAAAACAACGAGAGGCCGATTGGGCAAGAATGGAAAACCACAAGCAAAAATACTGCTGATCTAAAGGGGAATTTTTCCCCTGTGGCTGATGATACATGTAAAAAAAGGCTTTGAAAAAAATAATCTAATAACTGTAGAGTTATTTGCCACGAAAGGTCTCCTGTCATCTATGGGCAGCTTTGAGTATGACTTTACCCCCATTCATGCTTCAAAATATAAAACGGTCTTCAATCCTCTCTCTATAATGAGTTTGATATAGTCAGAACAGTGGTTCATACTGTAACAATAAAAAGGTTGTTGCATAAACTAATGGCTATGAGGTTAATGGGAGTCTAGTAGTCAAGCGGTTGCATTATTTTAGCTGCAGAAGATGTCTGTAGAGTCTAGATTCCTCCTCTTCCCACCCTCCCAACCATTTCCTATGTCAGAATACAGGTAGGAGAACTTCAGGCTTTTTCTTTTGCAAAAATTCATGCCATTAAATTTAACCCAAGTCAAACGTCTTACACAAAAATAAAGTTTCCATCAACACTGAGTAGAGGAAATATAATTGTGCACCTTATTAGAAATATCAGCGGAGACTGAAAGGCCACAGACAACTGGTTATAGCATTTCCTCACCCCAAGGGATGGCCATTTTGAGGTCAGGGTTGAGTCACCTTGGCAGAGCAGTATGTGGCACCTGGAACTACTGCTGTCATATTACATCTGCTCTGTGAATAGAAAGTCTCAAGACCTGTCATTTCAGCAATTTGCGCAATCATGAAGCATAAGAAAAAATAATTAAGAGAACTGGAATAAAGTGAGGTCCTAAATCTAAGAAGCATGTCACGAGGGAGAAGTCCCAGTAGTAATTAAAAGAAGGCTAATACGTTGGAACAATTAGGTTCAACAGACGTGAAACCATTGCAGCTCGAAGCTGGAACGCAGTACGGGAGAGGGCAACGTACAGACCATACTTAGCTCTTGTAAACACCAGGCGAGATTAAACACTGATATAGGCGCTTTATGCCATGCCACTGGTATAAAGTTGAGCAAACTAGCCTCATCCTTTAGTCTAAACTTGAATGTGTTTTGTGTTAATAGAAAGTTGCAAGCAGCTAACCCCAAACATCTAGAAACAGTTGACAGTTTAAGGAGCTTTCTGTTACGAAAGACATTTTTTTTAAAATCAACAGCAAGGACAGCATTTACTTTACTTAAACTTTTCTTTTTTTTTTTTATTGATGCTTGTAACAAAAGACACATACAAACCAGACAGATATAAACACTTCTGTTGTCAGCCCTTGTGACTGCTATAAACTGTGGCAAAAAGAACTGACAGATCCAAATTAAGGGGCCAGTTACTCAGACTCTTATAGACAGCAGTATCTTTGGCACATGAGTATCCCCACTGCAGTTGATTTCAGTGTGGCCAAGATATCACCATGATCTCCAAGTGAAGGAACGAATCCTGCACTTTTTATTCAAGCGGCAGGCAAAACTCCTACTTCTCTGCTCCCTCCTTCTGCACTTAGATTGTCTTGCAGATTGCATGTGCAGTCCTGAAAGTATGCAAGAAAGATATTCTGCTGCCAAACAGAAACCATGAAAACAACTCCAGTCTACAATGTTGAATTATGTGCAAGGCACCTTCCAGCTGAATTTAATCAGGTACATACATGTATACTCAGAAAGCCTCCTAAGCAGCCTTCATAGCTATTGATAATTATTGGTAAGAATGATACAAATACATAGGCAACCATAGAGTTTCAGCACAACTGATAAAATGTTCCAAGGATGTAACTGCAGATATAGATAGATAAATATAGAGAGATAGATATATAGATAGATATAAATGACTTGTTGAATGTGGCCAGTATAGAAATCTCCTACTTCCCCTTGCCCATTTTGAAACAGGTTTTATTCACTTTTCTGCTGATATTATATGAGAGGCCAGGCTGACCACCTAGGTTGGACTTTCTCCCTAATATTCTGTTACATTACTAATTTGCCATCTTTAATCCTAGAGCATCTGTGTTTGAAATCTCTGTGGTTTTACTGCTCTGCCCAAAACTAAACTAGTAGCACACAGCAGAGCTAAGATTGGAACTGAGAAATTCCTAAGGGTACTAGCAAAAGACACTGAAATAAAGTCAGTCGATGTCTAAATACACAGACTGACTTCCAGAAGTAAGGAGAAAACAGACAGATGGTTAAAATCTAGATATGGCTTCAGACGTTTAACCTCAAGCACCCATTTAATAATTTGTAACTATAAAATCAGGTTGACATTATTACTAACAAATCCAGAATTAGCAAAGGTTTTCAGACCTTTCAGTGGATAAATCTCTCTATACAGAGATACTACATATTAGGCAATACGTAATATTTGGGGAATAATAATTAGTCCAAATAATTCATCCAAATGCCATTCTCACCCTACTTTTTTTTGGCTCCTGTACATAAGCTGGTTATATATTTGCACTTATACACAATGGAGGAGACTTCACAAAAGTATGCCTTCTATAGAAAACTGGTGTATAGGTAGATAAAACTGGTAGTTATCTGATTAGCTCAGATTTAAAAGGCTAAGATCAAGCTTATTGAACAGTATCCTGAATATCTCCTATATGCCAGAGTGAGTCTGGAAAGAGCTGTTTCCTAAGGGAATTTTATCATCTTTAGGCAATATGATATTTAGAGCAAAATAGAAATACCCTTAAACTTATTTCATATGACCTAATTGTACCATAAGGGTGGATCCCCCTGAAACTACTGAAACGTAACTGGAGCAAACGAAAACGATAAAAGCATCCTAAAAATTCTGCTTACAGTTGCGACAGGGAATAACGCCTGTACAACAGACCTGAAAACTATTACTAAAGACCCAAAGAAAAAAATGCAAACTAAGTCTAAAATACAGCAAAAATATCTATTAGAAGTTCCTTTCCCTCTGCATTAAGGACTTTAAATGACTGCTCTGCCTTCAGGGAAAGTACTAGAGGTACTTTAGAGAGGCTAAAAAAAAAATAAATTAAATATAAATTTAGATACTTAATTGCCTGTGCCCAGGGTGTGCCAAGTCATGAAAATCAGACTGATGCTAAGAGTAAGTCCAAACAAGTCATAATTAAAAGAGGAGGAATGAGGATGAAAATCAGGGGATGAAGGTGGCTAAGTCAGAAGGTTCACGAACATCATAAAATAAACCTGAGTCTTTCACTATTATTTGCTCTAGGGTCCATAGACAAAGTTCTCTCTAGGCCCTCAAACTGGGCCTAGAGGGTTCATCACACTCTGGGGGCAACGGTGCTTGAGAGGGCAAGATGGCTGACTTCATATCCAGCCTTTGCTGACTGTCCAGCCCCAGTTATGAAGAACCCACTGGCAGGTGATGGACTTTCACTACAAGGTTTGCATTCACCCTCTAGAGCCATTCCT